AAAGCTGAATCTGCAAGGCATCGTTTTCTATTGAGAATAGGGGACTTTCTTTAAAATAAGTGGCATCTCTCAAGTCTGCATACACACCTTCCCTGGGAATATACCTGGGCTTGAACATTTCTGCAGTATCACCTTCTTGTAAAATACTCTTCAGTGTTTCCAAAATGGGAATATATGCAAATGTATCAGTTACAATGACTTGATCATATGTCCCAGTAGTTTTGTTTCTCCTGCTGTCAAATCTTGTGCCAAGCACTTTTTGTACAGGCTCAGAAAGTCCCCATTTTTCTCGTAAATGTTTGTTTAGTTTTGCTTCTGAATTTAAAGGTGTGAATGGATTTTCTAATACTTGGAAGGACTGTTCAATTTTTTTTCTTTGTTCTTCATCCTGTGGAGACAAGCACTGTAAAGCTAAATCCTTAGCCTGGCTGTGGATTTCAAAAATGACTTCTTCCATGGCTGACACAAACCTCGCAACATTAGACTGACTTAATCCAGCTGCTTTTACTTGTGCAATAGCAGTAGTACACATATCTGTAGTGCTGATATTTGACTTGGTCAGCAGAGTACCGGTAGATGTTGTGGCCGACTCTACATTAGTTGTCACCAGCTCTCCTGCATCACCAAGGTCTGCTCTGCTTGAACTGACGTTAACTTGTTGATTAGTATTGTCAGTGTGCTTGGCATTTAAATGTTTTCTAAACCCAGAAAATGTTCCAAGCACACGGCCACATCCAGTCTGAGAACATTTAAGACGAAGATTTTTTCCATCCAAGTAACCATGAACTACTCGTAAATGCCTATCAAGAGTATTCGCAGAAGGTAATTCAGACTGACAGACAAAACACTTCATGACTGAACAGATCCATTCGTGTACTAATGAAGCAACCGAGCCCGAACTTCAGCTACACGAGGACTCTCCTTGACTTTTCCTACATCTATGTTGTACACAGTGGTCTGGATGAACGTGAACATGTTGTACAGCATCGGGTGGTATGTTGTTGCAAAAACATAATGCGCTTTAAACAGTTCGTCAAAGGCACCAATTGAGGAGGCCGACCTGCAAGCGATGGCACTTTTGTCAAGTATGATGAAAAATTGGTGGGCTGATTTCCTACTTCGTCCTATAGCCAGGAGGTAGGGCTGTGTGCTTGTTGTGATAGAATCCAGATGTTCTTGGATACTGGTTCCTGACTGACAAAACAAAAACACAAAACAGAGTATTACAATTACATGGTGGCAATATTACACAAATAAATAATAAATTAACACGTTTTTTTGTTTATGTATAGCGTTTAACTGTATGTGATCATGAGTAAAACCAAGGCTCCCTCAATGAAACGTCGTTGAATAAAATAGATAAATAAAAAACAAAAAAAAACAAACCTTCTTGAAGACTAACAGATGCTTCTCTGCTTGGGAAGCAGACACCTTTCCTGGTCTCTTGCGGCCTTGGGCAGAGGGGGGAATCAGGTGTAACAGCAGCAAAATTGATGCGAGGTCACTGTCCCAACCTGTAATCACACAAATTTGATGTTAAGTAG